CTAGGCCCACCCAGATAAATTTAAATAAATAATAAAATAAACCTACAAACCAGTAAGTACCAATGCATGTAAATATTAGTGGAATAAATGTTACGGTAGGCCTATGTGTTCGCTTGTTTATCACTATCTCTTACGTATGTTGATGCTATGCAGTACAGTAAATAAGCGACACGAGTTGCGTGCGTGAATTTACTGTGTCATTTCGTTGGACTGTTTGTCCCTTCATTTTAATTTTTATTCCAAGCACATATTAATATCAACAGGTTAAATACTATTGTTGTTTCCGCCACAGTTGTAACAAACACGGCCTTGGCAATATATTGTGTATTATGTGTAACGTCCTATATTGTGTGTAACAAATAGTTATAAAGCTGACCTAAATATTGTTATAGGCCTAAATAGTGAACATTTGCAGGAAATGGTTTCTGCAATATGACATAATTCTTTGAACAGCTGTAAACAGCCACCAACGCATTTGATAGTTATAAAAGTAGAAGTCACATGGCAGTGTTTATGTTTTTGTGTAGTGGAAGGATACGTAATCAGTAACCAAAAGTAGAAATTTGGTAGGGCATCAGAAAAGGCAGAAGTTATCATGAAACAACTATGTAAAGAAAGTATACTGTATGCACTATATTATAAAAGAATAATATTGCCTAAATGTTCTTTAAGCGTTACAATTTAAGTGATGGTTGGTAATCATTTGGTTCGGAGTGTAATGTAGTCTTGGATCTTGGATATTTTATGCTTCTGTGCGTAATTATGTGCAATAAAATCTCTAACATTGACTAACTTTTACTTTAAAAGATTTTATAACACGAATTGCCAAAAAGTTAAAATGTGGGATAAAATTTTTTCCCCCAAAATATGTTTTCTGAAATACGGGTATGGCCTGTAATAGCGGGCGGCTTATAATTTTGGAAATACTGTACATATCTGCACATGTGCAGGTTTCTAATTTATCCTCTGTGGTTTTTGTAGGGTGTGCAGAAACTAATGTTCACCTGTTTGTGGAGGAAGTTAAGAGTGAAGAAGAGGAAGAAGAACTATTCAGACTTGTGGATAACCACACACCAACACCATCTGCTGGTTGCTGTCTGCAATCAGAAGAGTCCATGGTACTGAAGTTGGAATGTGAGGAGATAGACAGAGAACCAAGACAGTTACTGAATCACAAGAAGTTTCCTCTTGACATCGCTAACACCAGTGGTTCACATGCCAGTGAGAAGTCTTTCCCATGTTTGTCATGCTCTGCTGAATTCAGTTCTAAGGGTGATCTGAAGGTACATACTAGAACACATCCTGGAGGGAAGTCTTTTTCGTGTTCATATTGTTTTGCTAAATTTGCTGGTAGAAATAGCCTGAAAGTACACATAAGAAAACACACTGGTGAGAAGCCTTTTTTATGTTCATATTGTTCTGCTCAATTTGTTCGGAACAGTTGCCTGATAGATCATATCAGAATACACACCGGTGAGAAGCCTTTTTCATGTTCATATTGTTCTGCTAAATTTGTTCAGAGCAGTCAACTGATGAATCATATCAAAATACACACTGGTGAGAAGCATTTTTCATGTTCATATTGTTCTGCTAGATTTGCTGTTAGAAGTAGCATGACCAGACACATAAAAATACACACTGGTGAGAAGCCTTTTTCATGTTCATATTGTTTTGTTAAATTTACTGATAACAAGACTCTTAAGAGACATATTAGAATACACACAGGTGAGAAGCCTTTTTCATGTTCAGATTGTTCTGCCAAATTTGCTGATAGAACTAGCATGACCAGGCACACAACAAAACACACTGGGGAGAAGCCTTTTTCATGTTCATATTGTTCTGCTAGATTTGGTCAGAGCAGTAATCTGATGAATCATATCAGAAGACACACTGGTGAGAAGCCTTTTTTATGTTCATATTGTTCTGCTCAATTTGTTCAGGGCAGTCACCTGAAGGTTCATGTCAGAATACATACTGGTGAGAAGCCTTTTTCATGTTCATATTGTTCTGCTCAATTTGCTAATAAAAGTACCCTGAAGACTCATGTCAGAATACATACTGGTGAGAAGCCTTTTTCATGTTCATATTGTTCTGTTCAATTTGCTGATAGAAGTAGCCTGAAGGTACACATAAGAAAACACACAGGTGAAAAGCCTTTTTCATGTTCATATTGTTCTGCTCAATTTGCTTATAAAAGTATCCTGAAGACTCATATCAGAATACACACTGGTGAGAAGCCTTTTTCATGTTCATATTGTTCTTCTCAATTTGCTGATAGAAGTAGCCTGAAGGTACACACAAGAAAACACACTGGTGAAAAGCCTTTTTCATGTTCTTATTGTTCTGCTCAGTTTGCTGTTAGATATAACCTGGTGATACACATAAGAAGACACATTGGTGAGAAGCCTTTTTCATGTTCACATTGTTCTGCTAAATTTACTGATAGAAGTAGGATGACGACGCACAGTAGAACACATTCTGGAGAGAAGTCTTTTTCATGTTCATATTGTTCTGCTAAATTTGCTGATAGAAGTTACCTGAAGGTACACATAAGAAAACACACTGGTGAGAAGCCTTTTTTATGTTCATATTGTTCTGCTAAATTTGCTAATAAAAGTAATCTGAAGAGACATATTAGAATACACTCTAGCAAGAATCGAGTTTCATGTTCTTAATGTTGACACACTCTGTCTCCTTCTCATCGCTACTCAGGGGACTATCTCCCTTCTTCCCCACTGATGTGCCTATACCTTTCGCTCTTCATCCCAGTTGGTTCAATAAGGGAAGGCGGTGTAGGTACTGTGGATGTAAGTGCTGATTCCCTCCGGGATGTGAGTTTAATGCCCTTCAGCGGTGTAATAGAATCTGATTGACAGTTTGCATGGCGGGTTGACGGTCTGCCCACATTGGGGATTTAAGTGGGGCACCGGTTTGTTGAAGGGCTGGGAAATGCTGGAGGGGAATCAAATTTCAGGGTGAGTTTTATAGTGTGTGTGTGTCTCCCAGGGAGCTTGATCTTACTCACCTTGAAGGCTGTTAAGAAACATAATGCCAGCTGTCACTAAAAAATTTAAAATAATTGAAAATTAAGATAAATGAGAATGATATTATACTGAGGTGGGGGTGAACCACTTATTGCCCGGGATCACAACCTAGTCAGCTTCCCTTACGCATCCGGGGCGTTTGTATGGGGCTGGCCTGGTTGGCTTATTTGATGGGACAAAATTGAGTGCAGCGGTTACCACCTTGTAGTTACGTATTGGTTTCGGGGAAATAACTATATTCAGAACTTTCCCTTCGGCTGTATGTATTTTACAAGCGGGTAGAGGTATTTCGTTAAAGGGGCACAGCCACGGTATGGGTTTCACTACAGGCTCGGGCGCTGGAGGTACTAAATAACTAACATGATCCAGATTCGGCCATGGCTAACAAATTCCTAATAACAGATCCAAATATGTACTGTAGTTTTCCTTAATCTGATGTAATTCCCTGACTGGTTTGTCTGACCTCTCTGCTAGTTGTGGTAGGGGTGGCATGGGGTTCCATAAGTTCACAGGGTGGGGGCTCGACGGGTGTCACAATGGTGGGTTGAGTTACCTCTCTTCCAAGTGCTTGTTGGGCTACACATCTAATCTGACTGTGATGCACACCATTTTTCTTAGGCATTTGATTAATAAAATATTAAAACAACAAATATCTTAATTGGCTTAAATTATTATGAAGGCGGACTCGCAATCTAGTAGAGGTGCTTAAGCAGACACACAGAGGTAATGAGCGTGACCAAAAGGCAGACTAAATAGGAGCGTTTCTTCAGGCAGGCTCGGGTGTACCAGACACGCCTCAGGAATTCCTGGTCTTATTCAGACTCAAATAGCCTTCTTCAGGCTCCAGGAAACCCAAGGGATTCGGCCTACTCGTAACTGGTGTGTAGAGGTCTATGGTTTGCAAACGAGCTACCTATTGCCATTAATAATATTTACACTTGCTTAAGTAAAAGTTATGAAGGGGAAGTGAAATGACTACATCACCAAAAATTAAAGTTTACCACAGCATATTTATTCCCGCTATATGAAAATAGAGGGATGATTGGTTCTGTATAAAGAATGCTAAATTAAAATAATATTTATTACATTTTTTTGAGTCACATTAAGGCAGGTGAAGGAACCTGCGTAAATTAATTAGTAAAACCAAAATAATTCCAGAAATTCTAAGTTTCAATTAACAGTGAATAGTAAAGGGGTGGTTTGTCCAGAAGGGACTATGTTTATGGCCTGCTACTGCAAGGATTGACTCAGGTAAGGTTTGCAGGGTTAGGGACGTCATAATACCTTGGAGCTTCACCAGTGTTTCCTCTGTGGACAGCAGGGTAGAAGTCGAGGAACCTTCTTTGGTTGCTGGCCTTTGCAGGCTGCTGGACAGGGAGACCCTTCTTCAGGCTGGAGAATTTTCTGCAGACCCTGGAGGGAACTCCGACTCTACACAGGTTGGCAGGCCAACGTGACTGGCGAGAGCAATGTCACATCTCCTTATATACTCAAATTGCAGCTTGGAGGCTATCACAGGGGTGCGAGGGTTGCTAACTAGCCTATCTGAGTGGTGAGGAAACCTCATTTGGAATAGCCAACCCGTGGTTTTGGGGGATCTTGCTCACAGAGTCAACCCAGATGACAACCAGCACTGACGAATGTCTGCCCACCTGCACACCAGGTTCTGGGGCCAGTCCCACCACAACCCGAACCACAGCATTTTCAGCAGTCTCCTCAGGTCATCCATTGCCCAGGTATACCGTGAGAGTGGTCCCACCTAAGTTAAAGATTGTGCTAGCCGTCGCTGATTTTGTGCCCAGCTAGAAATCCACACAACCAGTTCTCTACGCTGGCTGGGATCCTGTTCCACACAGCGAATAAGGAGTGTATCTGCCTTCACACTCACCAAAACCCTTGGGGCTGTAACATGCCTCTTTTGCTCATAGGATGTCACATGTCAAGAATGTTTTCTACTGCCCAACGTGGGGCTCGAACCCACAACCCTGAAATGAAGAGTTTCATGCTCTACCGACTTAGCTAGCCAGGCACCGAATGACCTGCTGACGAGAATTCGGTGAGTCTTAAAAACACCCCGTGGCGATCAGGAAACCCAGAATCATGTCAGATACCAATGTGAATGAACCAGAGCAAATTGAAGTAAACATGGCCAATGCCATACCCGAACGATGTCACAACCCCCAACTGTCCCGGCTTGGGGACATGTTGCATAGAATGTGCCCACTGCCAGAGAAGCTTTCATTACATCTGGCTAGACTGGGCAGACGTAATGAGATCCATAGATGGACTGGAATTTAGGTGCGAGGAGTGCCGCACCAGACAAACAACTTTTTGCAGCTGGATAACATGTTCGGAATACGGGATCCACATAGTCTGCTATAAACCATGTTCAGAGCCCTACCACCGCAGTTGCATTTAGTGGCCCAAAGAGAGGGTAACCAGATCCAGTTTGGTGTACCGCTGTGAGGTATGTCGACATGCCGGTGATTACCGACAGCGTAACCAAGGGTCAGCCACCCAAACCAGCATCACATGGTGCACAGGGGAACCCCAAATCCCCGAATTTGCGGGACATCTGCATGAGGACCTACTCATATTCACAACGGAATTCAAGAAAGAATTTTGAGATAATGACATCCTGCCAAAGCAATGGGTGAGCCGAGCACAGGCAAAACTCAAGGGCAAAGCACTTGAATGGTGGAACAAGTACGGCAGGTCCATCACTGAATGGAGACAGCTGAGTAGCTGACTTGCCATTCAATTTATTGTTAAAGAGTGCTAGCCAACCTCACCGTGGATTTTTAAAGTCATACACAAACCCCAGCTGAGGAAGCAGAAATATTAGTTTGCGCAAGGTGCAAATGTTTCTGTGAATATTCCCAGATGAAAGTGAAGAGAGTTGCATGCAACACATGGCATGCATGTTGCTATCGAAGCTCTGTAACCTGGTACTGATACCCAAGTCGCTTACGGTAGATGAGTTAGTAGAGAGAGCAAAGGAAACTGAAGTGCAACTTTAATGCACATGCTATATGACTGGCCGAAAACCAGTAAGCACACACAGTCTGAAAAGATCCCTGAATGAAGAGCGAGAATTCTACCCCCCCCCCCCCCCCCCCCCCCCCCCCCCCTGCTCCTATGCCAAAACTCCCAAAATGCTGGTACTGGCCAGAGTACCATTTCAAGAAAGACTGCGTGTAACAGCCAACAGGACGGGACGGGCAAGAGAAGGGGACACAACTTGAGCACCAGATACGCCCCTGCAACCAGCCGAGAGGAAATCTACGCAGCAGATAGAAACCGCTATGGCGACACATGAAGCAGGCCAATCCCAGTGGACAAAAAAGAAAACTTTAAACTTAAAATGCCCTGCTCAGCTACAGCCATCAAGGGGAATAAATTATAAATTTAAGTTACATAAACAATAAAATATTTGATTAAATTTATTACTTCTAACTACATATCCGATGTGAGTGAGTATGCCCAGCCAGGTGGATAGGTACGAGGAGTTTCCTAGGGGGAACACAGCTCAAGTGCCATGTCTCACGTGCCATGGGCCTCATTGTGGCTCCTACCTGTACCCGTCTGGGCCACCAGCCGTCTAGCCGGATACTGACCGGACAAGCAAGGGCCGAATCGGCCAGCTATGTGCCCCCCGGGGGAGCATGACCGGCCCCATTGTCCCGCCCTTACCTATTCTTTACTAGATATTTAATTCTATGTTTTCGCCTTCGATGTTTTCTAGTCCAGCCAGTGTGTCATCCAACTGGACAGCCAGATCCTATCATACAGCTCCTAGATGAAGAAGAGGAACTGCTAGAAGCACAGAAATCGGAATTATTAGTAGGAAAGTACTCACCCTACTTGACTCAGCAGCCACAGGAAATTTTGTGTGCAGCGATATCCCGACAGCCAAACAAAGGTCATCACTCTGCCCACAAACTCATACCATTAGGATGGCGAAGCCAGATTGCATTCTCAAAGTCAATGGCTGGACCACTCTCACCATCGAATTACACAAGATCTCAAGACCAGCAGAATTTGTCGTCTCACCAGATATCCATGAAGCCGTTATACTTGGTCACCCCTGGGTCCGCCAAAAAAAATGCGTAATGGACCATGGGCAATGCAAAGTATACCTGGGCGACAAACACGGCTTGACTGTCAACTAGGAACAATGTCCAGATGCCATTACTCGGCCATCTCTCAAGGGTAAAGATATTAACCACCAGTTCCCCGAAGTGCAGTTCCAGGAATTGAAAAATGTCCTCCACAAACACACTGGCGCTTTTGGACATAAAGGAACCCTTTGCCAAACTAGATCAATCCAGCACGAGCTATGGCTGACCACCAACACACCTATCTAACACAGACTCTACAGGATACCAGCAAGACTATGCCAGCTAATATTGGAGCAAATTGAAGAAATGAAACAGTAAGGAATCGCGTGGAGCCCCCAGATTCCCCATACAAATACCAAGTAGTCTGGGTCCTGAAAGATGCCAACTTGTTTTGTGTAAACTGCAAATCTCTGAATGACATTACTCATTCCATTGCTCCTCCGACCATTAACCTAACACATACCTTGCATGATATTGGGTAGGTAACCATCTTCAATACCCTTGACATGCAGTCGGAGTACTGGCAAATTGCAGTGCACCGAGACAGCAGAAAGTACATGGCCTTCACCACCCCTGAGGGAGAACAACTCCAGTTTCGAGTAATGCCTTATGGCCTTATGAATACTCCCACTACCTTCTTGCCCCTCATGTTGGTGGAGGTACTCACAGGATACATAGACCAATTCTGCTTTGCATACAGTGACATTATTATCATACTCAAAATCATGGGAGGAGCACCTGGGTCACATCCAACATGTGCTAGAACATCTAGAGTTACACGGGATGACATGCAAGCTCTCGAAGAGCCACTTCTGGAAATCCTCTATCAACTACCTAGGCCATGTAGTCAGCCTGGAAAGCAACTATCCACAGGCAAATCCAATAAGAACAATTGAGGAAGCAGAAGAACCGGCCACCAAGAAACAGCTGCGTTGCTTTCCCAGCCTTGGCAACTGGCTCCGAGATTTTGTGCTCAACATAGCCAGCCTCATGGCACCACTGCACCCACTACTGGAGAAGGAAGCAAGGTGGTGTTGGAGACCGGAACACCGCGCCTCCTTTCAAGTCTTGAAAGCAAGCTTTCAATACATCAAACAACTCCACCGGTCTCAAGAGGAGGGGCCACTCATCGTGCAAACCAAAGATTGCCAGAAAGACTTAGAAGTGATTCTCTATCAAGAGGGCCCAGATGGCTAATCGCAGGTGATAGCATATGCCAATACAAGGCTAAATGCCACAGAGCAAAGCTACCACATTAATGAACAAGAACTCCTGTCCGTCATGTGGGTGTTTTGCAAATATAGGTATTATCTGGAAGGCAACCTCTTCATTTTATGGACAGACATTAAAGCCCTCCAATGATTATGCGTGTCCCATAATGCCAAAGCCAAGCGCAGACAATGGGACATATTCTTGACCGAATTCGACTTCAAAGTACAGCACTGCCCCGGCAAGACCGATGATCTTCCAGATGCCCTATCCCGCCAACCGGACCTGGACAAAGACACCCAAGCCGAGGAAGAGTGGGAAAGAATGACTCCACCCCAACTTCCAGACCGTAGCCCCGAAGAACACGTCAAGTTATTACAACTGAAACTCAGCCACAGTTGAATAGCGTTTCACCAGCAGCAAGGCCCAGAAATCCAGGACCTCTTCCAAAAGAAACCCCAGCGGTTCGAACTGAGGGATGGCATCATGTAGTCCTGGAGCAGCCAATCTGGGGCCAAGTGGAGAAGCTGCGTACCCAAGAACTTACGAGCTGACATCTGCAGAAACCACCGTGACCACCTTGAGGCAGAACATCCAGGAACCCAATAAACCCTAGCCAACATCAGAGTGCGCAGTATACGGGATGGGATGTGTAGAGACATCCCACAGTAAGTCCACAGCTGTGGGATATGCTGCAGGGGCAAGGCATACACCGTGCTGCAGCCCACCTCCAAACCCCATCGACAATGCACGCCCTGGACTCACAATACAGCTGACTTGATGGGACCTTACCCCCGAACTACCAGGGGGAACTGCTACCTGCTAGTAGTGACCGATCAGTTCTCAAGATGGATGGAGGCATTCCACCTGCCAAGTCGGGAAACCCACATCATTCAAAAACTTGAAACGGAACTCTTTCCATGCTGGGGCTACCTGCAATCAATCCTCGCAGACAATGAAACCCAATTCTCCAGTTGGAAATGGCTGACAGCCTGCAATGAGTGGGGGGTCGAAACCTAGACAACCTTCCTCCCCTATCACCCACAATCCAAGCCCACTGAGCGGAAGAACCAGGAACTGAAGAAGGGCCTCCACCTCAGTGTAGGAGAAGACCTCAAACATTGATCCCCTTCGCCCTACAAAGACGAACAAATGAGGCGATAAATACCAGCCCCAATCAATTCCTCCAGAGACAAACTCTCTACTACTCGGGGGATTGGTAATGGGACAGCCCTTCAACAGAAATGCCACGTCCTGAAGACGTCCGCCTAGCTGCCCCAGCCGGAACGGACAGAGCCAGGGAATCACAAGAGGACTACATAAAGAGAAAGTACCCGCCACCCTGCGCTGGCATCCAAACCTTTAATATGGGTGAGGCTGTCCTCCTATGCAACCACCCTCTCATCCAAACCAACAGCCAGTTTAGTGCAGACTTGGCTGAGAAATGAGAGTTCCCATATAAAATTGTAAGACACCAGGGTAATGTATACTGGGCTGAGGACCACCGAGGGCTTATTCGCAAGGTGACCAGAGGACAAATACGGCCCTTCTCAAGAGACACCCTCAACCCAGAAATCAACATCACTGCATTGGGGACCCCCAAATTGCTGGATAACATAGACAACCTAGCACCATTCGTGCCCCAGAAGCACTGCCCCCCCCCCCCCCCACACAGAGATTCTGAGGTCGAAACTAGCAC